TTAATCTGATTTGAATTGCTCTGGATATCCTATTTACACGTCACACGTATTTGTTCAGAAACTACGAAAACTAACAATGAATCTAACTACAGCCACTTCGAGAACAATCACCAATAACCTCTCCACATCCTGACACGAAATGAGCGAGCGTTGGGCGGGTTCCAGCGCTAGGCAGAGCAGGAGGCGGTGCAGCGATTGGCTACCGCATTTCCAGAGAGTGAACAGCAGGGCTTTCACCAAGATAACTGCAAGAATGCTCAATTCATTTTATTATTTATAAATTGGATGATTGAAAAGAAATATAATATTTAATATTACTAAACGGGTGGATCAGCCTATGTATCATAATATATTTCTGATCTATTCGTTTTAAAACGTTTGTGGGAAGTGTATTTCCTACTTGTAGTGCAAAGAACGTAACTATCAGAACTAGCTGTAACGAGATAGTATTTTTTCTGCAAAAGAAAATGAATGGTGTTAAAAAAGAAACAGACTACGTTGTCGATTTTACCCCATTTCCTTGTCTGCAATCTATCGGCATCGGGGTTGCAGGGTTTTTCGCGACATGTAACTGCCTCTCCATTTGAGACACAACCAGTAACGAATACCTTGAATCTACCAGAACAGCACCCCGTAGTCTTTGGGCTCATTTCGGTTCTGTATCATTGCACATATGACTGTAGTAGCCCTCATGCACATCGGGTCACTTGGTGCTTGTCCGGGCTGTATAGTATCCATTATGTAGTGTTCAGTATCAACAGCTCACTACAAAAAATTCACACAATACATGTCCATTATCACCCATACTATATCTTGCCAGATGACATTTAACGATTAAATTCGATACAAACGTTTATGACCCAAATAAGTGTTTTCAAGTTGACATCTGCAGTCCCATTTATTTTCTTGATAACTGACAATTTGATAATCCCTCGATGGTACGATTTCCAAGATGTGTGTAAAGCTGGCACAACCAGTACAACACAATCACATCAAACCAATTGGAGAATTAAGTACTGATTTTTTCCCCAAAAATTAAATATATTTTTCGTTCAGTTACGTAAATATGCTCAATATTTTCATGAAAAATGGTTGATAATCACTATAAGGTATACGTGCAACAGCTAATTAGAACTCAGAAAACTGATCGAAATTGTTTAACTCAGTCGTATCCAAGGTATTTCCAGACTGCTATAACTTAATGAGGAAGGAATAATACAATTGCGAAAGATGTCCTTGAGGGGTTGGCCTGTAAACTGCTGTTTTCTTTTACCAATACTACGGCTTGGCAGGTAATGGCAGTTGCTGGGGGAATTCATTCAAATATTTGGTTATTTTTATCACGAGCGGTTGATCAAATCGTACGTCACATAGCAAAGAGACAATTCAAAAATAAGCAATTTACATGTCAATTAAATGCTGGCATCTTGTCTTTACGTTCTGTTGCATTATATTCAACTCCCTAAAATGTAATTGAACAAGTAGGAAATAAATAATAAAAATTGGGCAATGATCAGTAACTACTACAATTGTACAAAACAAATTTCAATCAACAAAATGGGATTAGTTGAACAAGCTAGTTTAGTAGGAAACACTGAACAACACAGCAATATATCAGTATGTCGATAATTTCATGAAGGTTCTAGTTTTGTGTAGAACTGAAAAGAACGCCATTGTTTGATGTAGCACTATTCTACGTCATGTCCGATATAATAGTTATTGTCCGAGGACGGGAAATACGTAGAGAAAAATAAAAAAAATCGTAAACTACTTCTATATCCAAGGATATAGATATATCCAAGGCCTGAGATTTTAAATTAAACATGCATTTTTTTCTGTGGCTGTCGTCACAACTGTCGCTTTGGGCGAACGTGACCTTCGCGGCCTCTCCCCTCTCCCCGTAAAAGTACCGGCATCTCGAAGGCAACCTTCCCCAATGGAGAGAGTTGAAAGGGTTGCTACAGGAAATCTTGTAGTTTTAATTGAAAATCACATGACGGAAAGTATAATTTTATACTCAAAATACTATCAAAACAGTAATATCTATTACATCAATGCTTTCGTCATTTCATGATCAATCTATTGCTAGTGAGATAAATACATGGTTCCATTTAAAAAATAAGTGATGATTAAATTTGTCTGAAACTAAAAAATAGTTCGAATAATGTCCCTACGACACATTACTTGCCCCATAATTCCACATTGTTGAGCGAAAAAGTTTTGATATCGTGAACCGTTTAGAAATTATAGGGTGACAAAAACTGTTGAACAGATAACAAATACAAGAATAATGCAGATTTGTGCATCTCCCGATAAACAAAATAGCGGTTTATTTTAGTTAAAATTCTCAATATACTTTTGCCCCAAAACAATTGAACTTATCCTAATGAATGGGTAACTGAACAAATTGGAAATGAATTCGAATTGCTATAATTCCTTCTTGATCTGTGATCTGTGTGTAAGGTATCTTCTCTTGTCTTCCTGTTGGTGATCTTTTTATTTTACAGGCGAATTTTCATGGCCAGGTTTGATGCTCTACGATATAAAAATCATTTTATGTTTGTAAAAGTAAAAATAATAGCGCAGTATCTTAAATTCCATTTCCTCTCGATTTACCTACGCATCGTTCACGCGGGCGGTGTTGGGATCGCTTTCTGAACACTTTTCCTGAAAAATCTGTCAACTGTGTTTAGCTAGTGAGAGTGGCCTGAGAGTATTTCTTAGGGACATACTCATCACATAGAGTTTTTTTTCTTCAAATTTCGTGTATGGAGTGTGATTTCGTTTCATAGTGCAAGAGCGACTTGCAGGAACCGTCTTAACACTGTTGTGCACCTTCCTAACACTGCCAGCACAAAAAAATGTAGGCATTTTTGTTGAATCTTATATTTCAACGGCATTTCTAATTTTATTTCCTTAAATGTATTTATTATTATTATTTTAGGTGTTCATTTATTTAAAAAGTTGGCTTTAAATTAGTGCAGATGTCAAAGAATTTAGAAGAATACTGAGGCTATCTCATGTTGCTTGGCGATGTTATCTATGATACCTTCCACCGAATTGTGAGCAGAAAACATATTCAGATTGTTTCCTTTCGCGGGACGTATAAGAATGACGATTGGATGTAGGTAATGCCAGAGCGTTATCTCTGAATTTATCAAATGCCAATGCTACTGAAATCATTGCAAAATTGTTCTAACATCGGCGAGAATCGTCGAATTGAGAGGTGAAGTTTCAAAACGCGACATTTGCACCTTTGGTGAAAAATAGGAAATTGGTTTCAATAGGGGTCCGTTGCAGTTTTGCGACGTTCTAAAAAACAATTTGTAAAAAACGCGTTTTCTGTTCACTCCAGAGGGCTTCATAATAATGTGTTAATATTAGAACGCGATCTTTCCATAATCTTCATTTCGTTGCAAAGTACGATCTTTCTAATACATCAATCAGAGATCCTTGTGTTACCATGTTTTGGCGCCGCATTATACCAAAATTAAAATATATCTTTCTATAGAAATCTAACTGGCGTAAGCATTAACCAAGCTGATACTGAAAACGATTAGTATGGAGAATGTCAGCAGTTAGGGGTTGCTGATCTTCATATTTGCTGAAAAATGTCACAAGAAATATTGAAATAGAAAAGGAGATAATTAACACTCTTTTAAAAATATTCAATGAAAACATGTTTGTTTTTACGAAGAAAAAACAACAAACAAACGTTTTCACCAAAAATACAAGCAAAAATTATTCACATTACATTTCAAAATGAGACTTTTCCAAATTTTTAGCGATTAGATATTCATGAAATATCTTATACTATTGTTTTTACTTTCACTAGCCAAGGGCAATAATCCAAACATTTAATGGCAGAATGTTTTAGACAAATGATATGAATTTTTCTTGTTTTTCTAAAAACAGACTAGAATGGAACTAGACTCCTCAATTAAGTGTTATCTGCCAAAATTTAATTTTAAATTATTTTCCACGTGAGTTGGGAAACTTTTTGTTTAGTTTTAAAATAAAAAAAATATTTTTATAATGTTTTGGTGTTATTGGTCCTGCTCATGCTAGCTGAAATCTTTAAGAAATATCCAAAAAAGAAGGGGCGGCAAAGACCGCTGCGCTAATTCGTTATAAAAATGCGCGAGCATTGCAGGATTAACATCTATTATTATCTTCACACGCCAGGACCTTCACACGGCAGCGCCTTCAACGGTGTTTTTTACGCGCTAAATCTTAAAACGATTTCCATATTAGTGAGTACTTAGTGTTTCTGTGCGCGCCAAATACCAATGTCTTTAGTCCCGGAAGTCTAGCACATGCTATAGTCACAAGATGATGGTATTCTTCCTCGCGGAAACGTGACATCCGCGTGCCGACCTAAACGTCGGCTTGCGGCGGTTTTCCTTGCAGGTACCCCATCAGAGGAGCACATCCCCAGCCGGGGGAAGTTCTAAGCTCCTGCCTAGTCTGTCCGTATGTCAGTGCAGTGCACATCCGTGCAGTGGATGCACGTGTGTGTTTGAAAGGGGTGAGGACGAGACAAGGATGAGAACGCGAATATCACGCGCGGTCCTTGGCTCATTTGTGAGGATACAGCACCGGCCTTCGCCTCGTGCGAATTGAAGAAACCGCGAAAAACTACCGGTGAGAGCAAGAATTATTCTCAAGGCAGAGACTGAATTCGACCTAACTAACCGTCGGACTAAAATCCTAGACCCTTACAGTCAGCGACGCTGATGTGAAAAAAGATGTTACCAATGAGCCAACGTGTCATTTACAAATAATACCATCAACAACACTTGCGACATCAACCGACACATAAGATTTTCTTTTCGTTATTTTTGTCAGTGTAGTGAATAAAACACATTTAAATTAAAATTTTCTCGAGTAACATGCGCGCTACATCAGTTTTTAAGGGCAACAACCATGAACGAAAGTAAATAGGTGAGCGAAAACGCGGAATCTTCATTCCGATTCGGATGTCAATTCCACGAATTTACAGTCTGCGACCCTTGTGAAGCAATCACCGTTAAAGTACTGTATACTTTATTATTAACTGTACACACTTGTATATCTTCCATCATGTGACTCTTTAAAACATTGTTACAATAAAGGAATCCTCGATGTGAAGCTAATCTATGTTCCTATGCCATATTTCATAGTGAGACATTTGAATAAGGGGCGTGTCATATGATCGTGTAGTCCTGTCCAGAGCGATGTTTAATGATCCATTTTTCTTTGTTCACAGAACATCCGAGAGGGTGGTATCCTGTTAATTCAGAGACGAATTCTAAGAATGAAGTAGAAAACAAAACAATTATTACAGTACAACAACGGACGCGGTTGTGAACATTCGTTTTATTCCACACATGAACTCACTCTTTCAGACCTGCCGAGAGTAAACATCAAAAAAACTCTTCTGGCAGAAAACGATGTGTACGTTCTTCTTCTTCTTTTATGTAGGTTGTACATCAGTTTTTCTTCACGATTCATTCCGAGGATTCACTAGATGTTGACTGCAGATCTTCTCTCCATCTTTTCTGCGGCCTGCCAGGGTTTCTCTTTCCTGATGGAATCATATCCCTGGCTATCTTTACCAGACTGTCTCCGCTCATTCGCGTAATATGGCTATTCCATTCTTTTTCCTTATTTTCACAAATTTTGTAATATCAGTTATTTTACACTGATTTCTTACCTCATCACTCCTGGTATTTCCTATTATTGATCGCAATGTGTTAATTTCTATTGATCAGTTAATTGTTTTGTTTTCTTCGTATCAGCTCGACTTTCAGCTTCGTATGTGAAAGTTGGCCTTACCATAATCTTGTAGATCTTAGCTTTACCTTCTACGCTCCGCCAGCGGTGGGCGCTGGGGGAATGAGTATCTCAGTAGCCGCCGTTGCTGGTCCCGAGCCCGCAGACAGGACGAGGGCTTCAGGTCAGGTTAGCTCCCTGCCTGAGTAAAACAAAACTGCTCAGAAAACCACGCAAAGCTTCGTTTATGTTCATTTCTACAAAACGGCACTACCGCAGTCTGCGTCACAGCATCTTCCAAGAACACACTCCGAGATAAACATGTTTTCAGGCATTCTTTAGAGACTTGCAAATAGAGGTACTGACCTGCTATAACAGTGGACGTGACATTTTCAGAGCAATGAAGCATTGAAACTGTCAGGCAGAGGGACGAGTTGAGAAAAAGAAGTGGCGTTGGTGCCAGTGACAAATTACAAGAGAGCTTGCATGTCGAGTTCCAGGAAGAAAGAAGAAATGTAACGAGGGAGCCTCGCTGATGCATACATCGAGCATGCGCATTCACAGAATCCCATTTAGCCTTCATTAGTGTGTAAACGTAGAACTATAGACGCTCATGAAGACCCAATTAAAGCTCATGGTCTCGCGAGGCGCTGCGCGGCGCGGGGCGTGCGTCGGACGTGGCCGGTCCACCCGACCACCCGACCACCCGTCCCGCCCGCCCACTGCGCGACGACTATCCTCCTCCACGTCGTTTACTCACCCGCTCCACAGCACAATATGCAACTGGTTTATAATGTTAGGCTTTATTGCATACGTATATGTTCCGAAAGCGAGCGGCGTTAGCGGCGAGTTTTCAAATTTGTACGAATGCAACTAAGCAACATTATAAACGAGACGCACTTTTTATATGACATGAATATTATTAATAATAAGCATTATACATTTATAAAGGAACCACAATTCATTTTAAAAGCAAATTTCAAAATCCGTTTTGCAGTTGGCAACAGATTATGAGTTTCATTACGTCGCGCAGATAGGTCGGGCAGGGAGGACGAGCAGGGAGGACGGGCAGGGAGGACGGGCAGGGAGGACGGGCAGGGAGGACGGGCAGGGAGGACGGGCAGGGAGGACGGGCTGCGTACCCCCTTACGGAGCGCCGTGTAACTGCTCGCTGAAGAGGCGCAGAAGGGGGAGCCGGGCGGAAGAGTACAGGCGGGAAGAATGGTCAGGAAGGGGGGGATCGGAAGGGGAGGACGGGCTGTGCCATAAAATGCTATTTTATGAACGTCTTGCAGCGGAAAAAAGTATTTATAATGTTAGTATTCGAATTTCTTTCAATATGTGCGCGAAACAAAAGTGTGCAATATCATGTAGCATTCTAAATTTCCGTTTGCTATTATCTGTAGCCTAAATCAGTAGTCATTTTTTTAAATTTTCAATTTGTCAATCACACTCACCATTGTTCATTACTATCACCATCTTTTGTTTATCTATCATTTTGTTCAATATTACCTATTCGGTTTTCCTCTTCTTCTTCTTCTTACGCTTAATATTATTTATTTCCTTTATATAGTTTTTCGTTTCACCAAGTAGTTTTTCTCTTTTCATCATCATCGTCATCACGATGCTTAGGATTATAAGACTCTTCTGTTGTGATCTGATAATCTCAATGGTAGCCATTAATTTCCTTGTTTCCTTGATGTGCTATTGTATGATCTCTTTTGCTTAATTTTATTCTCCTTTGCTTGTTTCATATAGTTATCCTCTTCTTCTCCTCTTTAATTTTTTCTTATTGTCTATTTTTTCTATTTTCGACATATTTGTTTCGTTTAATTATTCATCTTTACTTCTTTCGCTTTCCCTCCTTTTTTTCTTATCTCATATATTCCCCCATATAGTCTATTTTTCTTTCATTTTTAAGTCTTCCTGTACATTGTGTTGTATGAATTATATTGTACGTGTTGTACTGTATGTTTTATATTCTTTTATAAGAAGGGTTTTATTTGCTTCAATTTATTGTTCTAAAATCTCCTAATTTTTGAGAGTTGATTCTTCTGTCCTTCGCACAAGTGATTATTTAGGACAAGGAAATGATGAATTAAATGAAACTAGTCATGAAGGTAGTCCCTCATGCCGAGTTCGTATTAGTATGGCTGTTTCCGAGAAAAACGCGACGAAAAATCTTGCACCAACAGGCAACCATGCATGTGCCGTAACGGGATAGATAGTGTCCTGATATCTGGCGGTGCGACAGGTGGTGAGCCCTACTCGTCCACTGAATATGTTTTGTTAAATCCCGATTGAAGCTTCTGCTTTGCTTATTTCGTATTGTAATAAATTATGATAATCCGAAAACTTCTTATCAATAGTAAAGTGATCTGCAATGCCGTTGGCATATCGTTATGACACAAACAACAAATTCACATAAGCAAGTTTGACGGGTCAATGACACACGGAAACTTTCTAAGCTTATTGATGTCCTTCATTTTACTTGTTTTTGGTGTCATTTATTTTGCTGCAATTTGTTCTGTTTCACGTAAGATAGACGAAACTTTTGGAACGGGAGTACTATGACAACGTCAATGTTTGATAATTCGTCGGTAAAACAATTTCCTGCCCCGAAAATAAAAGAGAACATTTCGACGAATGGAAAACAATATTACGCCTCATTGTTCTAAGGGTTTGAAATTTGAAGGATGTGCGTACATTAGGTAATAATACATTACCAGTGGATTGTTGGATTCTTTTGTATAACGAGTTTCACGTTATAACGGGATGTCGTAACACTCTTTCTTCCAAACAGCAAAGATTCAGTTGAGGAAAAACAGTTTCTATATGAAAATAAAATTTTCTTTTCTTTAACAAGGCAATGCCTTAGTTATTATGTTGGTAATGACTTTCCGTCGGAATTCTGGGCAAATTATAACATTTTGAAACAGATCCCTTTCAGCATTAGATCTATTTCACAAATAGATCTTATTATTTCAAAACACCTGAGGACATTAAACGATACTGTTTGAATTGTTTCGTGGAAGGTTAATATTCGTTTGCGGGTAAGAAAAAGGTAATTGGTCGCAAAAGAAGACTTTTCCTGCTATGAAATTAATTTTCTGATTGGGTGAAGTATAAAAATTAAATATCTGTGATGTGTCCATTACTTTTAGAGGATGTGATACACCTAAACGGTCGTTTTAGTTACAATATAGGTAAGTTATCAATGCTCGATGTTATGCCTCGAATGTGTCACAGTGACAAAAATATTAGAATTTATTTTTTGAATTGTTTATCGGCATTCGAGTTTTTGCCATATTCCTTGCCCATCAGTGATTGATATTTTAGTTTTAATGCCTTCATTGTTTTGAGAACTTTTAAGTAACTTTTTGGACATTTAAATCGATGTAATGAAAAGGGCTTTGCTGTAAAATTAAATCAATTCAATAAATGCTACACAGCCGTTGAATGAATTTCACATGGTTCTTATGAGATGTTTCTGTTAATGTTGCCACTTCGCGGCCCGTGAGTCTGGTCGAAAGTCCTCTCTCCTCAAGACTGGAGGCTGCTGCAAAAATTCAACCAAACTCTTTCTATTACGGCATATATTCCTTATATAAATATAAGAAATACAAGAAAAGCTAACATAAAATATATCAGAGAATTGTACAACACAATAGTCTCGGTTCCTTCATTTATTTTGCTCTACACAAGCCCGCGCTACATGTTTGTCCAGTTAGATTCGAGAACATTGTGCGCGCCGTGAAGATCGGGAAGGTGTGGGTGCAGCGGGGGCGGCGGCAGGAGAAAGAGAGCGCTCGCACTCACACACTCTGATTAACGTTCTCCTTAATTTGCGTCGCTTCCCGTCGCGCGTGCCTTCGCTGCTGCCCTCGCCGCCGCAATTTGGGCGACGCCACCCGCGCCAGACGTCGCGTCGCGGGCTCAGAGCAGAAGACACCCAGGACATCTCGCTAAACAGGAGGAATTCAGCAAGAATTAGGGAAGAAGTAGGTGAACAAATTGATGGTTAGTGTTTGTGATAATAGAAAAACATAGTTTTCTTGAAACTTTTACTTAAACTAGAGTTGATGATCGGTTATAATTCAAATTTGTGGAAGTTACATTCGTACAAATCTAGAGGAGTGTTTTCTGTGAGTTAAAAAAGTGGTTTTGAATATTTGAATAACAAAAACAGGTGAACAAATGGTTCCAAGATGCAACAAATGGAGGAGAAGATGAAACAATTGTTAAAGAGAAAGGGAAGTTTCGTGGCCATACAAAACGATCTGAGCAGGAACTTTTCCTTTGTGCGTTCCTGTTTGCGGCATACCAGCCCTGAGGAAGACCACGACAAGATGGTCGAAACGTCGACAACACAGCGTTCGACGCGGCGTCACCCGGACAGCCCAGATCACGCACATGACAGTGGCCGCGGAACGCTATGACTTCAACTTTTCCTTTGGCACGTCTATTATACTGGGCCATTATGGGTCAATTAGGAAACAAGTGACTTTATAAAATCATGATAACACAATTTTTAGGTAAGATAACAAATAGTTAAAAATAACGAAGGAATGATTCATAACTAGCGCGTTTGTTCCTCCTACGGTTCAATCATTTTAACAAATATTTACAGATATTATCAACAATCTTCGATGTAAAACTTTCAACTCAAAATCAAATTATAATAAAGGAGAATTGATTAGTCTGTTAGATTCTAGAGAAAAATGTCAACAGAGGAAACAACATTACGATTCTGTGCGAAATAATAAAAGGTTTCGAAGATTTCTATTACTTTGTGTTTCACTACCCTCTTCTCTATTACAAAGATCGTTCGTTCGTTCGTTGTTTGCTTCGCCAGGCGGCGCGGCGCGGCGAGAGCGGTACGAGGAGGTGCGGTACGACGCTCAAATTAAAGGCATCCTGCCCCGGCGACCGACATCTCAATGAGCAAATAACGAACCTTTCAAAAATGCAGGCCACGACTAATTTCGAAAAATAAGAAAATAAGGGCGGACTTCCCTTTTTTAATTACAGACCGGCCTCGTCTCCTCTGCTTCTGCGCCGCCGCCGCCGCCGCCTCCACCTGATGCGCGGGCAGCCAGGGACCACCCCCGAAGCTCGAGGGGAGCGCACGCAACCCCGGCCACGTGGCGGAGGCGGAGGCGGTGCCGATGGCGCAGTGGTCAGGATGAGTGGCAAGAGGAAACCACGAAGGCGACGACAACACAACAACAACAACAACAACAACAACAACAATAATAATAATAATAATAATAATAATAATAATAATAATAATAATAATGCCAAAGAATAAGAATAGGGCAATGTGATTTTAGCAAGAAGCATCGCAAACAAAACCATACAAAATACGCAGAATAACAGACAATGCTGCTGATCCTACTTGACATAAAATGGGAGGCAGGAAAAGTATTAAAGGAAATCGCGAAAAAACAAACCACTACTGGGTCAATATCCGAAAATAGACAAGATACAGATCAACAATGAATAATCATTTATGTGTCTTAAAAAGGTAGAAATTAAGCCAGAATCGTAAGCAGTTGTAAACGATGCCCAAGATGTTAATAAATATCATAAATTTAGGTATTAAAACGTAGAGGACAGTTCAAAATAGAAAAGAAGTCTATTCAAAATGTATTAATGAAGGTGCTAGGTGCCTTAGATTGTTTTTACCGCCAAAAGCAGGAGCGGTGCGCGAAGCTCAGCAGGTTGTCGAGCCAAGATCCAAAATCAAACAATTTCGATTTTGACTGAAAATGCAAATATTTTGTTTTAATCCGCAATTTCTCATATTACGCGTACGAATGAAATCTCATACTCTGTGTGCTACTGCTTGCGACACAGGAAGGAATCGAATAGAACGCCCAACATTAAATATTTGCTATTCACCTGCTGCATTATGGAAGGGTAACTTCTAATTCATGATATATTGAAAACTGTTATATTGTGTTTATATTGCATTCATTGTAGACATGGTGTATATTTTTGAAGTATTCATTACCATTGATTTTGTCGGATACTTAACAAAAATAGTTATTTATGTCACAAATTTCTATATTAGTCTTTAAGGGCTAAGCCGGAAGGTTAATTGCAAGGCGTTATAGCCTTGGGATATCAGAGCCTTGGGTAACGAAGGATAGCGAAGCCGAGTAATTAACTTTCTTAAATACTAATAGAGTCCTTAAATACTAATAGAGGACGAGTTACTTACAATGCTTTTTGTTACTTCTAGTTTATTGCTTATTCAAAATAAACTTTTGTCCCTTTTATGATTTAAGAATTGTCATTACTCTGGATTTTCTGTAGCAAGGGTTGGTGGTACTGGATTCTTCGTTTGTGATGAAGCAGATGATACAAGTATTCTCGAGGAAGCAGAACTGACTTGATGCCTTCTAAATCTGTAACCACTCTTGAGAAATCTTATGATTTATTTGATGATTGGCGAACGAAAAGGAATGTTCAAAGCATTAACGAAGAGATTTATTAGCATACTACCTTCAACATATCTGTACCAAAGTAATTGTAAAAGAATGTTAACATTTCTTCAAAACTTATTTTTGTGTCAACGTCATATTTATCCAAAGATTTAAGAGCACTTATTAAGTCCAAACACGAATGTTGGCTGAAATTTTTTTTTTCGTAATACTGTCCGTTAATATATCTGCTTTATGCAACCACACTGAGAAATGAAATGCCCACTGGCCGTTCAGAAATTAACGGCCACCGGCTGTTAAGGAACCAAATGATCTTCAAACTATTTATTAAACTTCGAAAACAGATGACAAACGACGTAATATATACATACACACAAAATAATTAACACCCTCAAAAGTAATTTTCAACTTTTCAATTATAGAATTCTTATTTTCAACTCATAATTTCACATTACAGTAAATGTAAGTATTTAATGCACAATTATTATTATTATTATTATTATTATTATTATTATTATTATTATTATTATTATTATTATTATTGCTAATCTTCATAAGCAGTCGAAGTGCGGACGTCGCCGTCTTCAATCTCTTGATGTTCCTGCAACCTCGTGAGTGCTGAATAACGGTTTAGAAATGTTCATTCATTTCGATACCGAATGTACTACTACTGAAGAGAACTCCCAATGCCCATGTTCTTTCAACGAGAGCGCATCGCTTCTGTTTACGACTAGCATTGTAGCCGATAATTGTTGAAAACAATGCCCTGTTTATGTAGAGCTCAAGTGAGTCTAATTTTAAAAATCCTGCTATTCTTTTCTGAGTGTCTTCTATTATGTGTATACCCACAACGTGTTTACTGCATTCCTATAATTGACAAAAAGGCGTCTCGTTTCTAGCTTAGAGGGGAGTAGGTTGGCATATTTTAAATAAATGAAATGCATTGAATGGAGGACCGTCTTTGCATATTACAAACATTCTATTTTCTTTGTTTTTGTGCAATTCAGTGTAACTAGTACTCTATTGCTCGTGGTGTCTATATCAGTAATAGTCAATGACACATGTTCGCCTCGTCATCATGCCCTAAATATACCAAAAATTACAGTAAATATTTTAAGTAGTCATTTGCTTCCAGTAAAAATTTTCTAAAATGTTCTTACGACAAAATCTTGGCCTTCTTGTAACTGTCGCGTCTTAATCAACAATCGTATCGACTTGAAATGGAAGATGGCGTTGCACTCCTACGTATTCGAAGCAAAGTTGTTTGTAATTTACTTTTTTTCATAAACGAAGAGGCACTACGAAAAGTATTGAACGCCACACAGCCGATATCACAAATAACTTATAAGTCTTGGCTGGTTATAAAGTTCAGCTATCGCCTCGATTTATAAACTTCAACTGCGTCGGTTATGAGTTTATCGACCTAATGGCGTTAATAACTGTAATGGACTCGCAAGCATTTAACGGCCTTTGCTAGGATCACGCTCGTAAAGCGTCGATTAAATGGTTGGTTGCTAAGAGCCAAGTGCGTGTTTACCAACGTCAACAACAAAAAACATTTTGTTTTCTTTGTTCAGAAGCACATGCTCTGTTGAAGGCTTTTAATAGAATCTAAAAGTATTTTGGATGAAAATTCACTAAGCAATTGTAATGTGAAATTGTCTGTTTTTAATGTTTTTAACGTAAAATTATTCATATTTCGAATAAAGTTACATGCTCTTTAAATCATATAAGTAACTTTTTAATTAATTTTGAAGGGCACCACAGCAGAGAAATATTTTTTGAAAAAATCATTCAATGACATTCATTCTTTAATATCTAAAAAGTTGTTCAAAATGCGAAAAAAACAGCATATTTATAAAGTTTGGGAACCCCTAATAACACCGCAACGTCAGTTTTTCGATACAGGCAAATATATGTATATACATGTATACATACACTCATTCAGAAGACCGAGATTCTGGAGATCTGGAATTTTGGTTCAACCCTGGGATACTGGATGCGGAGGCTGTCAAATGAAGGAAACCCACTTCAAGCAGCCTGCATAGCACGACGCGGAACTATAGTTGAGTTACTCTAAGAACTTTCACAGACACTTCGACACATCGGGAAGCAAATGAACGACCTGTAGGGCGATGGAATTGCAAGAGAGTGATGAATCCATTTATAAATGAGCTAACTGTAAGCGAACGCATAGATGAATTGAGCGTAACGATTAACCTGCCAAGTAACAGAAGCTTAGCATCAGCTGTCAACACTGTATGTTCTTATAGTATTCTCTGTACACTCGGCCCGGCTAGCCCATTCACCCAAGTCACTCATTAACAACGGATAGCATGGCACGGCACAGCGTGATACGGCATGGGGCACCCTCATTTTAGTAGAGTTAGGGAGCGCTCCAAAAATCAACTGATTATAGTGGCTTGCATTCAATTCTGATGACTAGATTTGGAGAAAATAAATAATTTGGAAGCAAACTGAAGAAACCAACAATCAAAGTTACTAATGCATTCCAGCCCCGTAACTTGGTCATCAGGGTCTTCTTTTGTTTCTTCAATCTTCTTTCTATGTTTTTTTCTTCTTTCACCTGCCTATTGTTTCTATTTCTTTTGGGGCTTTATTTGAAGTTCTCGATATCTCCTTATCAAGCGTTTCTTACCAGAACTACTTAACTTCGTGAAACTACGTGAAATTCACTTCTTGGTGAAGATGGAGGTGAAGCTAAAGATTGTATTTTTACCCACGTTCTTCCTCTTCTGAAAGCAAGTAAAGCGTTTTTAACCATATTGTAATTTAACCATATTGATCACTAAGCGTAATCACATCTCGTCTTGCACTACGATTTAACTACATTGTTCACTTCAAAACAAAAACAAATACTCACTAAACGTAGAAGAACACAACACGAACAAACACGATGGACACTGTGCAGACAAATTAATATCGTAAAAGTGTCGCCAACGTCGGAATTTGACATTTAGAATTCTTCCGTGGTAATTCAAAGTAAACAAAGGAAATCGCATATTGATATAGACATCACCGCTGTCAGTTGCCCGAAGATGGCCTCGACCCCCCTTTTGAAAACTAATTTTGAACACTCGACAAGCTGCAAAGGTCCATAAATTATATATCAAATTAAAGAGGTTTTAAATATTAATATACAACCAAAAAAGGAAAATCGAAAATTTCATAATTGTTTGCCCTTGCGGAGTCCAGCATTGCATCAAAGCGTAAACGTGATGGAGGTCTGTGAAATAAGAATGGGGAAACAATTGTTGGCCGTGGTTTCAGTGTTGTAACGAATATTGCATCACCTGCTGGAATTTGCTGCGCGTGGATTGCGTCATCTGCCGGCGCCCCTTCCCGTCCCCCCGAACTGGACGGTTCCGGACTATTCGCGAGTCGCGGGGAAAGGTGGAGAAAGTGCTGGTTGTGTCGAGACCAGCGCCGGCCAGGTATAAATGCGCCGCTGCCGGCGGCCGCGAGTCAGTAAGAAGTTAGTCTGTGTAAGTCAGTCAAGTAGTCGGAAGTATGCGGCCGCGAGTCAGTGTAAGTTAGTGTAGTTAGTGTAAGTAGGTCAGTCAGTAGTCAGTCAGTGTACGTTAGTGTAAGTAGGTCAGTCAGTAGTCAGTGTACGTTAGTGTAAGTCGGTGAGTGTATGTCAGTGTAAGCCAGTGTAAGTAGTAGTCGGAAGTAAGCAGCCACGGATCAGTTAGTGTTTGTAATCAGTGAATAAGCAGTCAGTCCGTTAGTGTGTCTGAAGTAGAAGTTGTGCTGTAAAGTGTGCATTGCGGTGAACAGTGGTGCAGTGGAGTGTGGTCTGCGCAGGGAGTTGTGGTCTGCGCAGAGAATTGTGGTCTGCACAGGGAATTGTGGTCAGCGCAGTGGACCGTGGACAGTGCAGCGGACTGAGCGATAGTGTTGGTTTGTTTACATTTAAATATAGAAAAAAAGTAAAATTACCGTTTTCGAAACTCAAATCATTCTAATAATTAGAATAATTCGAGTATTCGAATTCAGAATACACCATTTAAAATTAACTCTATTTTTTTAAATTTAATTGTTATTCTAACACAACAAACAGTGATGGTACTTATGTCATGTATATAATGAAATTTAAGTGCACACTATTTATCATCTCAATAATTCCAGTGAGGCATTTGCAACGACATGCTGAATAAAGAAAAAAATATTTATCAATTCATAGTTTCACGGCTAAGACCATTTTAGCCGTCACAGCCTCAAACGCTGCTTCCCGACTCGGACGAGCACGACACACAAAACGAATGTTTTAATTAAACTCAGGCCTATGCTATAATATGAAGCAAGTATTATTCTATTCGAGCAAAAAATGTAGAGAAAAAAGTGGAGCTTTTTTGGGAGGGAAATCACATATTTTTTTCATGTCACCATTCCACGCTAGGTTACGCGGAAACTTCTCGCAGTTTCATATGTGCCTTTATACTACGTATTAGACAAGAAAATTAAAAAGGGAGAGCTGCCGTTCTCCATTAATCTTTAGTTTTATCAAAACTCCCTCTCAAACTAAGGAAGCCGCCGCTGGCCGGGAAGTCCTAGGATTCGAGCCCCGACGCTGGCGGATTTTTAACACTACTCATGACTCTAGATTGGTTAGGTTTGCATATTTAACAACGGTCGTGGAGAGTAGAAATACCTTACTGGAAAAAAGGACATTATTTACACACCTCGATTCATTGCCAATTCCATATGGGGTCACGTAAGATTCAATTTTGGGTCCTATTCTCTCCTGCTGGAGGTAACGATCGATTCGAAACGGAAGAAAAGTACGATTTGCCGCTGATACCAATATGCCTTTCAAGAAAGAAAGTAGATAAGAAAGATAAATAGTACAATATCAGATGTTTCAAATTAGTTTCGTGAAAACAAAGTAATAGTAAACGAAAGAAAAGCTGTTTGAGTGCAATTATCCTCTTGATAGAAATTATGGACTCCAATTACATTCAACGATGTGCTGATGGACTGATGTTAAGATAACAAACTTCTTGTGCCTCTCAATTCAGTCCAACCTCCAATGGAACGTCCAATTATATGAATTGAACGCAAAAAGTTTTCTGTGGTACGGGCGCAGAATTCTTTCGAATTCATTCAGCTTTCATACAGCTCGTGTATTTCGTATCGCCGCTCCCTGAGATATGGCATAATATTCTGGGAAAACATTCCTGTAGCTCCCACATTTTTAGATTACGAAAATGAATTGTAATAATAACAAGCAAATACCACTTTCGTGATCCTACCAACCTACGTGATTCTGTAAATATGTTGTATTTGCTTTCTATTGAAATACCGGCTACAATGAACGTCAAAAAGAAAAACCCTATTGATTTTAATAATCATATTTAATGCATTAGTTACTATTTGTACTGTATAATTCTAAAAGACTAAATGCCTGAAACTGAAAATATTGAATCTCAGCTTCTGGTTCAATGGCTGCCAACGCGATCAGATTTGCCATCCAGTTTTCCTGACTGTGAGCAAATGCCAAAAGCCCCCTTGTTTTGCTTCTGAATTTATATGTAGCTTCACTATGTGTGGACGTTTTCTTAAACCCAGTGGGGGAAAACAGTTATTCAAACACTCGTTCTCCATGGTCTCGCAGAAGTAAGTCGTTTCCTTCGTGTAGTGCACGGTAAGGGGGAAGAGCCAATATCGTTTACAGATTTGCCTTTGCAATTCGTTTTTTATTAGATGGGAGCAAATATTTTCAGCAATTCTTACCAAAACGCTAGTTGCTGCGTGTATACATTATTCAACTTAATAAGTAAATGTATAAAATAAAAATGGCCGAAGCGTTGGCTGTTATGCAATTTAAGAATGATGGTTTATTCATGATTGGATTAAGTAATTTTGACTCTTGTTTGAGCTTGCATTCGTTTTAGTCTGTTATTAGGTTCAACTAGATAGATACCTATATGGCATTAAACCGCTGCTCCGTGGAGAAGAATTCTAGTGACCGGCTTCTGTGATTGGTAGTTTCTCCGGTCGCAACCAGGAAAATGCCGGAACAGCATCTTAACAAACAGATCACGGACCTCGAGTAATTCCGAGTTCCTTCCTCATCTTTGTCCAATTCTCTCCCCTTACACAGTGTAAGGGGAGCTCCTACCTGGCCTTTCGATATGTGTGCAAGTGTAGTGCATGTGAGAGTGTAAGTTACATTGTGACTATGAGCAGGTTTTGTTCAACTCTCCTTTTGCTTGTAATGGTGGGAGTAGAGGTGAGGGCGAGTTACTATTTTGTTAGCAATGCAGAAAAATCAAATCTGCAGTTCGTTTACGGTTGAAAATAAGTTTTCTATATCTCGGGAACGAAAATGCCAAGTTGTTTCAAATGTTTTTAATCTCTCGCTTTTTGAAATGTTATTTTGATTTATTCATTTTTAACTTTTACTCATCCTTCAACTATTTATAGTTAAAATGATGGAAAAACTCTGGAACTCAAGATAACGTGCGCTGATGATCTTCTCCCTAATACGTCACATACAGTTTTTACTTTTTTTGCCTTAATAATTCTAAATCAACAACTCAACATTCTCTTTTAAGATATTTTCAGTTATTTCTGTTTTAAACTTTAATATCGCTCTGAAAATATCAGTTACACCACGTGAATTTGAAATCTACAATTAATATTGAACATTTATGCCATTACTTTCAAATTGAAGTTCTGTAACTGGTAATTTCTAAGCGATATTAAACTTTAAACCGGCAATAACTGAAAACTTAGAATTTTACGTTGTTGCCTATTCCAACTAGATCATTCATATCTAGCAATGATCTCTTGATTACTGCAATCCAACCAAACTCATTAAACTAACCTCAGTGTAAGTGTATTTTGTAAAAGCCTGCATGTTAAAACTATAATAAAAATCGAAATATGTATTAAATCATGGATAAAGTTATTAGAATTGAATGTTCACGTAAGTATCAGTAGCAGGATTTCAGTTTCTATCATTTCTGTGGCATCTGAGGAAAATTTGTTCGCTTTCTTCAGGGTATTGCTTTTTCAATTGTGCAGTGATTTCTGCTTTATCACATTTCATATCCTCAAAACACGTCATTTAAAATTACATAAAACCCTGCGCTATATAAAGACTTTTTAAGGAATTCATTTTATTTGTAATCATACTGAAGGTTACTCGTTAATACGCTTACAACCCCTTTTTACTAGAATATTTTCTATGTAATTTTTCTTGAGTAGTATAGAAAAACCCATTCTCTTGTGCTTCTTTGTTCCTCTACTTGATGTGTGGTCCTCTTCTTTTAGGTAGTTTCAAAATACACCCGATGACCCACAAAGACCAGTACGTTGAGAGGTCGATTTTCCTGAGTGACTAACGCCATGCCGTGGGCCAGGCCTGCGGCGATGCAGACGTTTTCTGTGAAGCTGACTCATTTCGACGCCCGGGCTCCGCAACATCTTCTTCGCCAATGCCGTTGTCATCATTTGCTTGTGGCAACGCGGTCCTACATCAACGTAGCCATCGGCTGAGATGGCTCAGAGCATCAACAGTCACTGCAAAGTTTCTTACCGAAAGGTCGTCCGTTCGAGTCACGACGGTGGCGTGATTTTTCGACACTAGATAGGTAGTTAGGTCGAATTTGGCGACCTCTGGAACAGAATGCTAGAGGTCGGCTGCTCCGATCAGAAGTTTTCCGTGTTTTCTCCGAACAAAACCGGGTGAATGCCGGAGCAGTATCCTAACAAGCGGGCCACGGGCCGCGCTCAATCTTTTCGTCCTCTTCCTTGTACTATTCTCACATCGTATTTACACTTATATTTACAAGCACTACACTACCACCCAGAAGTCAAGATGAGTTGTGAGCTTAGAGCTTGTCTGGGCCGTTTGACCGCTGGTTGGAGATACCTGGATGGGGAAATTTCCGTAAGCCGAAATGCAGTTCGGCGCCGGATCTCACCGTCCGGCTGGGGGAGCATCGCTGCCTCCCGCGATGAAATCATGCACTACACGTGCGAGACTATAGACAAAAGCAGTCAACACATCCGGAAACTCTAAATCATCAATCAATGAAGCACGCAAGCAAGCAATCTGGTGTCCTCCTCTCCACCCATTCCGCCTTGTCCTCCCACGTCTCATTTGCTTGCTACTTTTCTGTACCCGCAATATGCAACTTGTAGTATCAGAGTTTCATATTAAATTACAATACATTATTAGATTACATAGGTTCGAAAATTTAAATTAACAGTCAATATTAAATCGGTTTTTACAACAATGTTAACATTTATGTTCACGTTATTTCTTTTCTTTCCGGCATTTCATTCAACTTCAAGGAGTAATTTTATTTCGGAATGTAAAATATATTTTTCTCTAAGCGGCCGTGGAGATGACCAGTGTCGCAACCTTCAGTGCTGTGCTGCCCGCGCATTCCTTTCATATGAACGTATGCATCGATACCAACGTGACCTGAAAATATACGTACTTGAGGTTCTGCATTGCCGACGTTTCGTTCTGTTATTGATATACCAAGGCTATCCTGTAAAAAATGATTAGTCGAAATCAATTTTCAATATTAATAAATCAAAATAATAAATAAAATAATACAATTCAATTTCTTTAATGCGATATTTGTGAGACTTTTACATTTCAAACTTTCCTCTATTGGCAGTGTGGTTCTAATCGCAATCCTCCAGGATACCAGAAAGCGATTTTAGGTAATTCACCAGCTGAAGGTTTGTGGTAATTGTGATTGTTACAACAGGTTTTCCCGTCACATGAAGGAACTGAATTTAGTTCTTCTAGTATTTATTATAGTCAAATTGGACAGTGTGTTTTTGGACTCCAGAGGCCCGTTCATCGAATACTACACTAGCATTTATTTAACTGTCCATTTTAAATAAATCACCTGTCTACGGTTTCATCCAATCGGGAGCTTGAACGTCCCCACAGTAACGTCACTGTAGAGACACATAAATTCCGATTGGATAAAACAGCTGATGTGTGTCATGTGCACTTAAATCATAGAAACGTGTGTGCAGCCCACCCATACGGGAATCTTCCAATACTTTGTCAAGAGAGAAGGGAGCTCGATTTTTTTCTCTTATATATATTATATTTTGTATCCTGGCCTCATTTATTTGTCTTTCAAAGTAATTTTGTACTAATACATACGATTTTCCCAATAAGTGAGTATTTTTGGTTTATTTTACTAACTGATAGTGGATTGAACTTAATAGTTGAACCTAAGAGTGTCTTTACAATTGAAGTCCTGTAGCTTTTTACCTGATCAACATTGAACACCCTAGCGTTCATTGTCACCAGATATATTCAATTGTTCTGCCTTCAGAGATTTGGAGTTCCAGAGCGTGTGATTGCCCGCGTGTGCGCGCGGCGCCGACTTTCTGCTTAAGCGTGCAAGAGCGATTCTACTCACTGAAATTGAGAGAACGCATTATACGCTGCGGAAACTACGGATTTATACCGCCAGATATCGGTCCAATAGCCCCAAATTTTATAGAGACCCGGTTAGTTGTCAATTTTTGAAATTGCTTAGAGAATCGTTCTATCTGAAAACGTTTTCTGGTAGGATGTCCTTGGTTCAGTTGCTCAAAATTAACGATACAATCTCAGGGACGGAGGATATTGGGTTTTATATTGATGTTCTGTATCCTTATCGGTATTGATATTGTTGTGTAATTGTCTTTCCCCATTCATCACACGTTTCTGCTGGTAAAGACGTAGATAAATAATATCTTAGAAGACGCCAAGTCTAAGATTTAACTACATTTTTCTGACCACTAATTTGTTCCATGGATCGATTATATATGTTGAATCAACATTTTGTCCATAGAGTATGGTGCATAAGTGTTCACAACATGAAAAAACATCAATACTGTTGAATATAGTATCTTACAGTTTTGCCGTATCTGTGTACGTAATGTATCTGTGACGAAGTGCGCCGTAATTATACACGACAGAAAAGGGTTTACAATATTTTTATCTCGATAAACCGTAGAATATATCTCAATGACCTCCTCAACCGTTTATCTTCACATATGGACAAAAAACACCAACCACAAAAGAAGTAATTACACAAATGCACTTTTAAATAATTTTGAATGCTAAATGCCAAATCAATTAACACGCTTACAAAATACCTAATACAAACTATTTATTCATTGTGCCTTGTATTTTTTTTTTCAGGAAACAAAGGTATGTTATAAATGCAAATTTTCACTCTTCATCGAAAGACATGCATCCATTTCTGTAGGTGGAATGTGATATCAAGACATCAAACGACCTTCTCCAGTATCAGAGAATGAGTGTAGAGACAGATTTTACAGCCAACAGAGTGCGTGGAGTATTGGTCGATTATGGGCAATCCACAAGCCCAAAGAAATACATACGATGCCGGTAGTGAAAAAAGAACATAAAGCAAGATTATATGTCGGACGTTCAATGGCTCAGAGCATCGAACCCGGATGTACTGTAAACGAAACGAGAAAGAAACAGGTATTTCTACTAAAAAAAGAGTAAAAATCCAATACAGAAAAATTATGAAAGCTTCGGTCACTTAAACGGTTTATACAAATTGTGGCGGTATGCCTTTTCATTTCATACACGTACTTACTGTACTTTACTCATGCGCTTCTTTGCTTAAGATGTAGTCTATGCCATAAAAATTGGATCATTAATGCTCCTAAAAAGTGATTTCAGTCAGTTCCCAACACTTATTAAAAAATTGGGGCTCAACTCACCCTTCATAAGAATCTCGTCCATTGCTTTATTAATTTCAAAATGCATCAATTAACGCATCATTTTAATGTAAGTCATTTACATGAAACTTGTGGTTTCTGCGTCGAGGCATTTTCCTGCCATACATTTTATATTTATTGAGTTCAACTGTATTTCAACGACATCACCTCCACAGGCAATACGTTTGAAACGGTTTGCATTACAGGTACTATCTAAGTGAATGAAAAGCATATAAAAGTGTATAAATGAGCGCGCGCGCGCGCGTGTGTGTGTGTGTGTGTGTGTGGTATGAGCGCGCGTCCGTGAGTAAAGACAAATTTCTCAATAAAAATATTTAAATCAGAACGTTGAATGCATTCTCTACTGAAAATACTACTTCCCATAGTCACTGCATTCCGCAGAGCTTCTTAAGGAAACCATTCTCTGGGAAATTCTCCTATCAGTCGGATAAGTCATAGCAGAGAGGGACATTGCTCCCTGATAAACTGCTATCGTAGACCGGGGGCGATGTTATGATTTTGAATGAGGCGGAAGCTTCTGTAGAAAACAATACACAACCTGAACTGAAGACGAAAGTCCGTCAGCAATTTCGCGACTCTCGGGTAACGAACCACGACAGTTACATGTGCTCCACCGATACGGGTTAAGTGTGTAGAAGTGTTAAGTGTGTAGAAGCGGAAACGTCCCGCCATGTGTGACTGATAGGCGCGGAAATACAGCAGGGCATGGGGTGGGAGATGGGAGAAAAGGAACGCGCATCAGCTGTATGACACGGGCCGTGGAACCCGAATACAGAAAGGATATTCCACAACTCCACAGCGTCTTTAAAACCACTACCATTTGATTGGCGCGACAGCCCGTGAACTTAGATCTACCGGCGACGACTCTGCTTCGCGACCATGGGTTAAGACGTGTGGTTAGGACGAAGATATCTCCATGCGGTATTCCGGTCTTCTCAACCAGAAAAGTGAATTTTCTCATCGTCACATAGCACTATATACAGGGACATTGCAAGAAAAGGGCACACTCTAATCTTATCTAACTGGGAATTGAACCAGGGGCCGCGTAGTACGCTAGTAAGCGAGAGCTAGCCACGAGGCCGGAAGAGTATTACCCCATAATATTTTGTCATTCCGCCATGTGGAGAATGGTCACATGAAATCAAATGTATTTATGTAGCTAGAATGGAAGAATATTTTTCAAATTTACAGCGCTGTCCGTGTTGCACATTATTTAATTGTTTTAATAAGCGGAAGAATTTTATATGAGTATTTTAAATACACTCATGATTTGTTTTGTCTTCTGAACATTTGCACCCGAAGATCTGGTCCCTCCTGACCACGAATCTTCGTAAATAAAGAATACAATTTCTCTAAATTAACAACATATTAAGTGTTATACACCGATTATCTACAATTTCTCAAGAAAACCACATTGCAGTCATTTACTATTGTTTTAATTTTCGTTCACTGATTTTTGAGCGTGAACTACTGATGCGCACTCTTGGGATCCGAATTTATTAATTCACAATGTCTAACAACATTCAACAAATAATCATATATTATTAATGATGGTTTCTTCTGAAAACCCGTAAACGCCTTCCAGATCAACGGTATCTAGACAATCCAATCAATGAACATGTTTGTTTCTCAGAACTCGAGCAATCGTGGAACCTCGCAGAACCTGTCAAAACACCTTAAACTATTAATTAAAACAAAATGAATAATAAGAGTAAAATACTCTTCAAACAAAAATAATCACTACATTAGCATAAAAATTATGCATAGGGACAATAATCAAAAGAAAACCTGTAGTTTCGATTATTCAGCTATATCCGAAACATTGCAATGGAGTTACACGTCGCGGAAGGGGGTTTGAACTGATTTTGGTATTGAACATTGGTATAGAACAATCAATACTCTTGCAGCAGGATCGATCTTCCAAAATATTGAAACAATCAAACCAAACAATAATATCGTCCACAATCAGAAATCCCATCCTGTTATTTACAAGTGACAATCGCCTGTGTAATACTTATGGATACTCTAGTGACAACAGTGACAAAGTTTCAGCTCCAACGCACTGCGGCGGGGGCGGCGTTTGTGAAGGCGGAGGCGTGTGGCGTGTGGCGTGTGGGCGTGTGGCGTGTGGGCGTGTGGGCGGGGAGATTGGATTCGCACCGCTCTGCGCGGGTGGAAAATGCGCCGTCACGCCTTCCTCGGGGGGCCGGGACGGCCAACGGCTTGGGCCGGCCGCCGCGTGCATGCCGGCCGATCGGCGGCCGGGCAGCCGGCTACGGCGCGGGGCGCGCTGATGGCCGCCGTCGAGTGGGTTGTGGTTGCGTAGAGCGATTGTCGGAGGATTTATTATTTCATGGTTCCGTGCGTGTCAACGGCTACGACCATTAGTACCGGAAGTGTAGTGCACATTTTATCACGAGAGGTGACGGTGTTAACGGCTGGATGGTGAGGTCTGGTGTCGACCTACACGTCCGCTTGCAGGTTTTTTTGTTTTTTCAGTAAAAAAAAACTCCCACCAGCAGAGCACCGCCCGAAGCATGTCAATCTCCAAGCTTCCCACTGGACTCCCGCCGTGTGTGGTAGTGGAGGACATGTAAGCGTGTGTACGAAGGGTAAGCATAGGACAAGGAAGATAAAGGAAAGATCGCGTGAGATTTGTTAGAGTACTGCTCTGTCATTCACCTAGTGATGATTGGATAAACCACGCAAAACTGGCACTGCAGTGACATCAGTTGACGACCTAAGCCACCCCAGCCGGAGACTGGCAATGGAAAAAGGAGGCTCGGGTATGAGGTGAGTGAATTGGAGCGAGTTTGAGAGGATTGTTAGGATTGAGCGAGATGAGGCGTTCGTGCGAAAAAAAATTATTGACTTTATTGACCGTAATCAAGATTTTCGGCTTTAGTGGAGTTGAAGTGTCTCTCTCTCTCTATTCTAAATGGTTTCAAAAACACAAAAAGATCCATGAAAATTCACCGGAACGCCATGGTGTGCTAAGCTCGTTTCGAGTTGAGAGAATCAAAATGTCTCAATAAGTATCTTCAAACCTCGCAAAACCCCAATATAATGATCCGTACAACGATCTGGAGACAAAAATTGTAGCAAGTATGGTGTTCTTAGACATAAATACGTTGGATTTATGTCTAAAACGATTTCGATATACGACTAGTAATAGAACTCTAAAAATGCTGCTGGCGGCCAAGAAAAACAAAATTTCTGTATCCCGTCAAATTGAAAGTATGTAATAAGTATGAAAGGTTTTACATTTGTCGACACAATAAGAAGAAATATATTGCAGAATAAAGTAATAACGGTCTGATTTGGAATATTCTGAATCAAATGGGATATCTGGAGAGAGTCAGGCCATGGGTGTTTAACATCGCTGAACAATCATCTTTCCTTCTAATTTAGACTTGTAGAATTATTTAAACCATTAAATGTAATGAAGAAATTTTCTCTTTATTTTTTGAGGACATTTCCATTAAGACTTAACAGCTTTATTATGTTTTCATACAGGTAGCATCGCTGATATCCATTAAAAACTTTAAATAATTATTCTCCCTTCTTTGACTTACGTTTGAGCCCTCCACGATACCGTCAATAATATTTAACATCCAGTGATTCTCACGAATTGACCAAGCCAATTCGCTTTGTACTTCATTAATACCTCTAACGCTTTTATTTTTCACGCTTGTATCAAATAAGCCAGTGATTATTTCGTCTACATAGTGGCTCGATGTTTGAACTCGAATTTGTCTGATCTCAAGAAGGTATAAACTGCTCAACTGTTGAGGAATACCGAGAAATCATATTTAAGCTTCAACAAGTATACACGAGTATAGTTTGTCAGTAAACGAGTGCCCGGGCATGAGTGGGCGGTGGGCGGGTGGGCGAGCGACGGAAGGGGCGTGTGGACGCGAGGTGATAGGTCGGGTGAAGAAAGAGAAGCGTGGGGAACGGCGGAGGCCTTTGGCAGGGGTGGTCAGTTACGAGACGCCGCGAGTGGAAAAAGCGCCTGCGAGGCGGACAGGCGGTGCGAGTGCCATTGTCAAAGGAAATGGACGTAAGTGCGGGCGGCAAGCAATTAACAGCGAACACCGCCTCCCGTTATGCCACACCCGTCTTCACCTGCTCTCTTTGAGCTTCACCGGCTGCGCGCTGCCGCCAGCTGCACGGCCGCTGGTTCGGAACCCGACGCCGGCGGCGGGTCGCTGTCGTCCATTTCCCATACGGCACAGGCCACAGTGTAGTGCGCGGCATTTCCTGCCGCAAATCAACAGACCTCAGCCGATGTACGCCATTATTTAGGCATTCTCGCGGCACGAATCCATGTAAATAATAATTTAAAAAGTATCCTACATGGACGTGATTATTATAATAATAGTTCACGGAGCTCAAAATAGTTTATGTGAAAATATGTACTAGCCACTGAGTCGATATAACATAATTGTGGATTTAACAAGAGAAGTGGACGAAGGTTTAAGTGTCAGGCATCAATACTACGTGATCTGGGTTAAGCTTGGGCTGAGAAAGGAACGGAAGAAATGTATAGAACTTATAGAGTCGTGAAGGCCATAGAATGCTATTCAAAACGACGGCGAAACGTTTCGCCCAGGAAATAGCTACATATAGGTAACTAAGGTAACAAGCAAACAAAATATGCAGCTACTAATGTTAGTGATATAGTATGTGCGTTTTAAAGGATGTTTAAATTTAATGCCACGTACTTAGCAATAGCCTGCGGTGTTGGCTGAAAAGATCCGTGCGAGTACTGATACACTACATATATGTAAAAGGTTGCGCGTTCTAATCGGAGCAGAACATGTATACTTGTCCTTTAAGGGGCATGCATAGGGTAATACGAGGTGTTCGGGTGTAAATAATTTGAAATTTTCAACTTAAGCCTGGTCGTTAGATTGGCCTTTAAGAACAAGATGGGGATAGATTTATTTACTAGTGATTTCGGGCGTGTCAACTACTAACGCCATTATTTGCGTAAGTGTAGTGCATTTTTTATCGCGGGAGGTGGCGGTGATCTTGAGGAGATCCGACGCCGACTTACGTCGGCTTGCGAGGAGTTTTCCCCAATCAGGTATCTCCCACGAGCGTGGCACCGCCCCAGACTGGACACGCCCTACGTTCCCGGCTCGTCTCTCGACAAGTGCGATAGTGAAGGGAACGTGAGTACAAGTGTGAGTAAGTACAGGGTGAGGATAAAACAAGGAAGAGAACAGAAAGATCGCGCGCTACGTGGCCCGTTTATGAGGGTATTGCTCAGACTTTTGCGTAATGTTGAACAGAGACACCACAGAAAACTACCGATCAGAGCAGCTGACCGCTAGAATGCTCCTGTACACCGCGGCCGAATTTGACCTAACTGCCTAGCCACTGTTGAAAATCCTACCACTGCACAGTCGTGACTCGAACTCAGGACCTTCTGGTCAGTGGGAATGCAGTGACGTCAATTAATGCCCTGAGCCAACTTCGTCGGTGGAGAAGGAAATTTCTGTGTCCAAAGGTCAAGTGATTATAACAATGAGCAACGAATGACAATGATAATTCGCTCACACGTGTCCCGCACGTGTCAAATCGCTGTTTCTCATTGCCTCTCTGAAACGTGAAATGTCAGTTACCAATACGCCGATGTAGACCGGAACGTCTCGTATGCAATATGACCAGTTGGTGTATTAATTCCACAGTCGTGGACCAACATGAGGGAAGATGTCAATAGAGCCTACGGTTTACTGTTTAATAAGGATAACAGGGTGTTAACGAGAACTGGCATACACTGTAAATAGGACAATATACTCTCTTAGAAATCACTCACTCTTAGAAATATATTATGAGTAATATATTTTTCATGATAGTACATTACAGTTACTAATAATGCCTTTTCTCAAAGAAGTGCATTATAGTCGGGTGCTAGTAAAGCCCAGCAGCTATTCTGACGAGATTTAGAAGAACCGTGTTGTACAAGCGCCCGTAGCCCCTTTCCGCAGGCGACGAAGCCGCCTGTGCCGCCGTCTCGCTCTCGGTCTGGGAGTCCGTCACGGCGAGGCAGGGCGGTGGCGATCGCGGCAACTGGCGGATGTAAGGCATCGGCTTGCAGGTTGATGGCGACGCTCACACGCCACAGACGCGGCTCGTTAAGGTTAAGAGCGCGCTTTACGTCCCGCGGAGCTTACGTAGCGCGACTAACGAGCGGCGGCGAGAGGCTGGGCCGATTTGCGACCCAGGAGCGCCCCCCCCCTCCACGGCGCACCCACAACGCGCAGCCGCCTGCCAGGCATTTCCTGCTTCGAACGCACTCGCACACCACGCCGTTTCTGTTGGCTCGAGGAAGTAGATTGGCATCTGCACTTCCTAATGAAAAAGATGTTACGGCATGTGCCTGAGACACAGACCGTCCTACTTCACGAGCATTATCTTATGCGTAGAGCTGATGCGGGCCCAAGGCAATGACTTGTCGCGTACTCATTAATCGGTATGTTTCGGGGTGGTCCTGAGAAATGGCACCCATCAGCGAGAAAGTAGTGGCCGTAGGGAATGGGCGTTTGTGCGGAGGCGGAATCAAGCAGTCAGACGCGCGTCTCCGCACGTACGCCGCTCGCGCCCCCACTCACTAGTCAGGGTTGCCATCATTTGAATATTTAAGTAGTACACATACATCAGCACACACTTTCTCACACAATTTCTACCTTTTGCAATTTTCGAATATTCGGAGAGACCAACGAAAATTAGACTTGAGCTATTCTTTTAAGTCTCCTTTGTTCTATTCGTGGGAAAAAATTAAGGAAAAAATTGGACCAGTATTTGGGAAAAGTTTTTGTTTCATAATTTGCAGTAACTTCAAGCAGATATTGGACGAAAACTGTTTTTTTTTCTTCAAAAAAATTGTACATTACATTTTTTAAAGATCTGACGTTTTAGAACAATTTTCATTTTAAAAATCTTTATCTTGTCTAGTTTTGCGATATTACTTTCAGTAACTTTAAAAGATGGAGAGTTCGCTGGAAATGGGAGTAACACCACATTCTTACCGTCCTTTTGAGATTTGGAGAAATTTTAAAGAAAAAAATGGAGCTGATTTTGAGAAAATAATTGTTTAAAAATTGACTATATATTACACGCAAAATGTGAAAGGACTAATATTTTTGACAAAATTGTACCAGACGTCTTTGAGTAACTTATTTTGAAAATTCTCAAGATGGTCTTTGAAGAGCAGATTACATTTAAAAAATCTATCTTCAATATTCTTTCTACAGGAAGACGCAGAAAAAATTTGAACTTTTGCAATTTTCGGAAAATCTTAAGTTTCAAAGAAAATTAGACTTCCATCATTCTTTTATGCGTCTCTTTTTTTTTAAAAAAAGAGAAAATTTTGAAAATATAATTAGAGCTTCATGTGAAGTAGCTCCAAAAATCACAGTTTCAAACTCAGAAGGCCTTGAGATTCTTTAAAATAATCGAGGATTATGAAATGTGAAGAAAATCGGCTGAACGGTTTAGGCGCCAGAGTTGACGACGGGCACAGGGACGATTTTCTGTCAATCATTTTTTTATGTCAACAATTTTTTGATGTCCCAGAAAACATTGATTCTAGCTTCTCAACGAGTTAGACGAGGTAAAAGGTATCCACCTTTTAGTAAACCAGGGCCAGGCAGTAAGTTTTTTTTTCGAAAATACTTTTTACGGTGCACGATTACAATATTTTCTCTTTTTATAAAGTAAATGTTAGAAAGTAAAAGGGACGGTATTATTCTATATATTTTAGCTGGTTGTTATGTATTTTGGCCTTAATTCCGTTAAGGAGCATTATAAACTATTCTCGTTCTCGTAGTTTCCATAGTCAAGCGGAATATCCTTGTGCGTGATCGCTGGAATATCATGCCCGGTAATGGAATGAAAGCGGGATGAAGCAAGCGTCATCATAGATTAAATACACTTCCTTAGGGGTGAATAGAAGAAGCTTGTTAACATCTCATCACAGAATCTCACCTCTAGATTTCTCATCCAAACACTGACTTCCTTTAATGAACAGTTCAACTTCGATTATTTAATCTGTTATTGAGTACGCAGTAATGCTTTCAGTTTCAAAACACAAGTATCATTAATAAGTACACAATGGAATATAATATAATACAAAATAACTGATTTAACATTAAATATTTTTTTAAAGTGCTATAGGCCCTAAATAATTCCGTCACCTTCCACTTGTCTTGCAAAGCAGCACATTCTAGTGTACAGCGTTGCACAGAAACTGCACATTAGTCTCCCACAAATTTGCCGTACTGCCTCCATTATTTTTTAGACAATGTTCTCTTCCATTTCCAGCGTATCTGTGAGGAAGGTTTAAGATTCCTGTGGGCAAATTTTCAGTTGAACTGAAAAATAAAAAGTTCTGTACATTAGGTACTTGCGTTCTTACAGGAACTTTGTGGATGAGCCCATCTATATCATAGACTTTTCTAATCGTACTATCGGCGTTTCTATTACTACTATCGGCCGAAATATTCTACAATTCACATTTTTATAAGGAAGCTACGTACGATAACTGACTAGAAAGACAATCGCAATACTAGTGAAGAGTTAGAGAAGTATTAAGGCAAAAAAATTAATAACTGGGAAACATTTTCGAAATTTACATTTCAATTTGTGAAAAAGTAGTCAGAGTTCAAAAACGTTGCCTTAAGTAGTATATCTCACTACATTTCATGTAGAATCGTGAAACATAAATAAAATTATCACCTGCAAAACAGTCACACACGCAACCTCACCTGGAAATGAAGAATGGAAATCATAATTAGGATTATTTTATAATAGCCTGTACATATAATTCATGACGGTGATTAATACTGCCCAGGTGACATACTGCATTTAATTCACTTGTGTATTTCTCACTTCTGGTTTGTAACGAAAGAATTAGCAAAAATTGCTGTTATTTAGAAACTGAAAACATTTTTAACGAAACCTGCTAAACAGCTGCCTTGATTAACCAGCCATTTTTGTGGAACTCCACTAAAGGCCATTTTTACGTGGAATGTACTTTTTTTTTCTACATATGTGGATAATCTCTCACATTAACAGCCACCTGTCTAAGAGGCAAAGGCCAGTCTCGTTTGGTTGATTGGCCTTCAAGAGGTGATCACTTCCAAATGATTTTGTACATTGTAACAAAAGCGGAAAAGTTGTTGGAGATTGTTGATTTAATAACTTCCTGTT